CCTCCTTCCCCGGCAGAGCATCTGGTGGATTCGAACCGTGCACCTCTGGGATTGTAGTTGCAGCTCCTTACCACTAGGCCACCAGAGCTCCCCTAGAAATATTTTTAATAAATGATTGTCGTAGTTATTTAGTGCTGCTATAACAGAAATACTACAAGTGAATAGCTTTAACAAACAAATTTATTCTCTCACAATTTGGGCTAGAAGTCGAAATTCAAAGCACCAACTCTAGAAGACTGTAAGCTCTGGAGGAAGGTCTTTGTCTCCTTTACACTTACAGACTCAGTTTTCTTTGGAGGCCACCAAGTATCATGAAATCACTCTTGCCCTGGGTCCAGGAGATTCTTAGTGCAGAAACCTTGGGTCCAAGGCTCTGCTTCCAGCTCTTAGCAAGACTAAGATCCCTCTCTACCAGCTTCTTAATCCTTTTATCTATTTTAAAACAAAATGTGATGCAGGCCACACCACAAGGAAACTGCTTAAATAAAATCTTGCCTGTGACCTGAGTAAGAGCAACCCTCTAATATTGTGTCATGAATACAAACATAATCTAATTTTTATTAATTTAACCTAATCCTGCCTCGTTAATACAGAGAGATCCAGATTTACAACACATGATAAAAGGAGATTAATTACACCGTACTGCATCATGGGGGATGATTATATCATTACTTAACTGCCAGATCACTGAGAATCATGGCCAAGTTTATACGTATTTATATAAGTATTTTGGGGAGAGAGTTTAATTCATGACAATGATACAGGCGCTACTGCCACTAGTTACTATTCAGTTGTAGGATTTTCCAGGCTGTGGCCATTCTGAAGTCTTACCATCATGTCTTTCTTTTGAAGTGCCTGTGGGTTAGTTCAAACAGCCAGGATTTTGGTTAGTAGTCAAGTGCTTTGTCTTGGGAAATTTTATGTCAGCTGAATCCAGACTCTGGCTTCTTGAGGCTCGCAGATTTGAGGGCGCCAGGCACTTGTGGTGTACTTTTGGCCCCACGTGGGATTTGGCAGAGCAGACTTGCCAGATGAACGGGGGTTCTGAGACAAGGAGTTTGCCAGCATTTGGGCTGCAGCCCTTGGGCAAGTCTTTCATTGTTTTTGTTCAGACATTCCTCTAGGTCGTATAGCCCTAGTGTACAAGTTGCCATCCTGCGGCCACTTGTGGTTGCTGTGAGGCTGAACACTGTGACACTGATGTGTCAAGTACGATAACGGTTGGTTACCCAATACGGACAGAGAGTGGGGTGGAGCTCCCCGCTTGGAAGGAGGAGTGGCATCCACTTGCTTCAGGAAAACCCTATGAACCTGGAGAGAGGATGAAAGACACCCAAGTGTTGAGGACTCTCCTTCATAGGGTCGCTATGAGTCACCTGCCACTTGACGACACTTAACAACAACACCAACAACAACAGTCAAGTGCTTAACCTTATACATCATCCACGGTCACCAATAAAGGCACAGCATCTATTTATGTGATATTTTCAGGTATCTTAATTATAAACTTTCTCTCTTAGGAGTAGTTTTTGTTGTGTACTCTCAAGTCAGAGTAGACCCAAATCTGGCACTCCAGTGAGCTTTCAGAGGCAATCACATGGGAGAAGATTGCCCATCTTTTTCCTTGGAGCAGCTGGTGGATTTGAACCTTCATGATTTTCAGTTGGCAGTGCAACTCTTTACCGCTAAGCACCCAGCCCATCTTTATAGTTGTTGTTAGGTACTATTGAATGAAGTATGACCCATAGCGACCCTATGAACACCAGATCTGAACCCTGTCCTATCCCGTGCCATCCTGACACGTTAGAGCCCATTGTGGCAATCACGGTGTCAATCCACCTAGTTAAGGGTCTTCCTCACCTTTGCTGACCCTCTACCCATCTGAGCATCATGTCCTTGCAACATGCCCAAAGTATGTGATGTGAAAGTCATTGCCTCCAAGGAGCACTCTGGCTGCACCCTCTATAAGACATATTTGTTTGTTCTTTTGGCCATCCATGGGATGTTCACACCGCTCAAAAGCATCAGTTCTTCTTTTGTCATTCATTGTTCAGCTCTGAGATACATAGTAAGTGTTCAGAAAGACCATGGCCTGAATCAAACACAGCTTAGTCCTCAAACTTTCATCATTACTCCTCAATATTGGAGAGGTGAGGACCCTCACTGCGGACATTCCCAGTGCAATACACCTCCTGATTTCATGACTGCTGGGTGGTAATTGTGCATCCACGTGAGATGAAATTGTTGACGGTTGATGTTGCCTATTGGTCCAGTGGTTAAAATCTTTGTTTTCTTGGCATTGAAATGCAATCTATATTGAAGGTTGTATTCTTTCCTCTACTGCAACAAGAGCTTCAAGTCCTCACTTTCACCAAGCAAGGTTGTGTCATCTGCATAGCACAAGTTATTGATGAATCTCCCTTCCATCCTGATGTCACATTCCTATTCATAGAGTTCAACTTCTAGAATAAGTTGCTCAGTGTACAGATTGAAAAGGTATGGAGAGAGAATACAACCCTGACACACTTCCCTTCCTAATTTTAAATCATGTAATGTTCCCTTTCTCTGTTTGCACAACAGCCTCCTGGTCTAGATATCATATTTTGCATGAGTACAAATAAAGTGCTCTGTGATTCCCATTCTTCTCAATGTTAGCCATAACTTGTTATGATTCAAAAAGTCGAATTCCTGTGCATAATCAATAAAACATAAATACATATTCTTCTGGTATTCTTTACTTTCAGCCAGAATCCATCTTACATCAGCAATGATATCCCTGGTCCTGCTTGAACTTCTGGCAGTTCCCCATCAATGTACTGATCTAGCCATTTTTTGATGATCTTCAGCAGTCTTTTGCTTGTGTGTTATATTAATGCTATTGTTTGATGATTTCCGCATTCAGTTGGATCACCTTCCTTGAGAATGAGAACAAATATGGATCTCTTCCAATCCGTTGACCAGATATCCTAGCATAGGTAGTTGGTGAGCACATCCAGGGCTGCATCTGTCAATTTAAACAAGTCATTGATATTCCATCAGTTTCTGGGACCTTTTTTTTTTAAAAAAAAAAAAAAGATATGGAATGCTTCACAAATTTATATGTCATCCTTGCACAGCGGCCAAGCTAATCTTCTCTGTATCATTCCAGTATTAGTATATGTACTGCTGAAGTGAGCACTGCAGCCTTATTTTTTGCCAGTGCCTTCAAATGCAGCTTCTGTGACCTCTATTATCATTGGCTCCTGCTCATATGGTCTTTTCTTTAATTTTTCAGTGTCAGTTCTTTTTGGTACAGTGATTCTGTATATTCTTTCTATCTTCTTTTGATGCTTTCTGAGTCATTCAATGCCCATAGCATCTTTCAAATTTTGTGACACAGGCTTAAATATGTTTTTCAATTCTCTCAGCTTGAGAAATTGAGAGCAAGCTCTTCCCTTTTTATTCTCCAATTCCGGCTCTATGCATGTTCCATTATAATACTTTGCTT